AAACAATTAACAATTAAGAAATCAATTTCACTCTAAACAACCTCCATTTAGGATTCAGTTTCCGTCACTAAGAATGATAAAATAATTTCAAACACTTGTTATAGACAGAGAAGAATTATACTATTTCATAATTTTGGATTTGAAGATTGGAATTTTGAGAAACCTGACTGCAATGCAACAAGGCCGACGGGAGTCGCGGGTTATCATTCTCGGAGAATGAGAGCTTGAGACTGATGGTAGATCGACGGAGTGACGGAGAGCAGATGGATCTCCATTTGATACTGTACGCACTTTGAAAGTGGGGTTTCAATTCTTTCAAAGTGGGGGTTTCAATTACTCTAGCATTTACTAATATATTTTAATAATATTAAAATATTTTATAAGGTAATTCATATATGTTTTTAACTCATATAATATTTTTTTTAGTAAATATTTTTAAATGACTTTCCTAGAGTTAAAATTAATTGTTTTTAACTCAAATATCAAGTTAATGTTTACAGCAAGTTGTATAATTCAAATTCTTAATTTTCGTAAACACTACGTTTTTATTTTTAATTAAAATTAATTTTTAAATTAAATATTAACTTAATTTTTCATATCACTGTTCTAATTTTTTGTAGCAATCATGTAAAAAGTGGTGGCTATGATAACATTATTAGCAACCAAATTAATCGGTTGTTAACGACACTTGAAAAAAGTTCTAGCAACCATTGTATATTTCGCTCTTAGATTGGTCACTATTAATATTACTTACAACGACTATTTAAAATGAAGTCGCTAAAGATTCTAATCATGGTCGCTATATAATTGGTCAATGCTCGACAAACAATAGTGACCAATTATAGCTACCAAATCATGGTTGGTCGCTATTTTTCCTAAGTAACTTGACTTTTGCAACAAAATTATTATTGGTGACTATATGTGTATATTTAGCGACTATTTTGCCATTGTCACTAAATATTTGGTCACTAAAAATAGTTTTTCTTGTAGTGATATTTCATCCCCTGTGGTAAGAAGTTGTCTGTGTTTATGCATATACATACAAATTGTGAATATGAATCTTATTTTATTCTTTTTTTTTATTTTTTATGATTTGTCATGTTTGATTTATTAGAGTGTGAACACTAACAATGTAAAGAAGTGCAAATTATTGGATGTTACTGGATCTGGTAGAATAGTTGCAGAAGGACGATGGTCCTCAAGTGATCCGAAACAAGTTGTTCATTTTGTTCCCCTGGGTCCTAATGCAACGAGTGTTTGGATCGATACTCCAAAAATCCCCAGTGCGTCGCTTTGGAGGTCTACATCAGAGATGGAGTTTATTGACGATGCCATCGGCTCTATAGTAGCATGGCCCACGGATAAAGTATTATTAGTTTAAACCTCTGGTAAGTAATATAACAATTTTTTTCTTTTTTGGAGAAATGTATTTGTGACTTGCATGTCCTCTTACCTTTAAGAAAATCTTTATATATATTTAATATCGAGAAAACTTATATATAGATCGCGTTATAGTTGGGTAATACAGGTTGTAAAATGAGTTTTATGCTTGTTTGGTGGATTTATTTTGTTAGACAGTTGTAATGTTTAACCATACTCATTTAGTCAATTTAGTTATATTCGATATACTGGATATTAGACTAGACTTAGGTCATTAATTTATCTTCTTGTTGTAATATTTGAATAAACACTATGTAATTTTATGTTTTTGTTAACAGGAAATAGAGAAATTAAGAGACATTAGCACGGAAGCTGATTTTGGAGTTCTTGAAATTGGTAGTGAAGATGATCCTTTTTTCTTGTCTTATTTCAAACATTTATCTAAACTGATGTTTTTGAAGTTTATGAATTGAATGGTATCGAATCATATTAATAATGATTATTATTTTGTTTATGTTATTTATAAAAATCTTAGAAGTTATTCTTTTTTAATGTTTTTTTTCAAATTGTAAATATTAGCAAAAAATAATAGCTACGCCGAAAATTCCAAAATTTGGGAAATAATCAAGAGCATTTATGAAATGCTATAAAAAATAAACCATAGCATTAAAATCAAAGTTATCATATATATTTGGAACGAATAAATCCTAATACAACACTACAACAATCGTTATTATAAAGTGAACAATAGCATAATTAATGCACCACAAAATATAACCATAGCGTTTCCAAAACACTATCAATAATACATACAGTAGCGGGAGCAATCTGCTATTGTACAATTAAAATAGCGTCTTTCTCATGCTATAGAAGACTTTCAATTAGATTAACAAAACGCTATGGTATGCACCTATGATAGCGTTTATTATACGCCAGAGAAACTGTATAATAGCGTTTTACAGGAGTCATAAAATACTATAACACGACATTAAAAATACGCTATTGAATCTTCCATTACCATAGCGACGTAAAAACGCTGTAGCAAATTTCCAATATCATAGCACTTGTAAAACGCTATGGTATATCTCGGACCTATTATAGCTTGGGCGGAAATAGCGTTTGCAAAAACGCTATTTTATCCTACGATAGCGTTTTGCACGCGCTATAAATGGAGTT